AAATTCTCAAATCTTATATTACAGTTGTACTGTGGCTTCATATCATACACCTGTAAAGGACATCACTCAAACAGTATATTAACAAATTGATTAAAGAAAAATTCAAATACTTCTGGATTCATTGTGCTCATTTGGCCAGCAGAACCTCTGTGCTTTAAGAGAACTGGATAATAAAAGGCTGTAAGAAGCCGTGGGAGGATAAATGCCAGACAACACACACACACACACAGCCATGTCAGTGTTGTCCGACAAAGCCTGTCTCCTGTGTGTTCGGGGCGTGTGAGGTAAAGGCCCTTAATAACTGGTCAGCACCCTTGCTGACCCCTCTCATGGCTCCTCAGTTCCTGGAGGAAATGATTTTGTCAGTGTGTAAAAACAGGAGAGGCCTGGAGGAGCATCCGCCCGGCCCGCAGCACAGAAAAAAGGCTGCTTGTATACAGTGGGAAATGGAGGAGCTTCACAAGTGCTTTGTGTACCAGCCACATACAGCTGCATCAATGGGCCTGTCAAGTGAGTTATCCCTCATTCACGTCTCTTTTCTATTAAACAGACCAATCTGGCTGACACCACAATAGTGCTGCTGAACTTTTCGAGGCTGGAAATGAAAATTTAGAATGAAGATGCTGATAGAAACCAGCTGGTAACCATCTATTACATCTAAACAACTATTTTTTTTTTTTAAGTTTCACCTAACTTACCTCAGTTTACATTTATTTCTATTTTTATATTATTCCTAGGTAATACAGTCGCTTTATTTTCTATAAATGCATGCATACTTTAATGGCAAATTAATTAAATAACCAATATTCTGCTAGCTCTTCATTATTCTCATTCTGTTTGGTTTCTCAGTTTGCTGGCAGCTTACACTCTGTCGGGATGTGAAGACAACCTCTAATCAATGAAACGTGCAAACCGAGGCTGGACACACAGCGGCGTCTCCACTGAGGCTCCCTGGCAGGCAATTACTGTGTTTGGGAAAATAAATGAAATGACTAACAAAATAGGTCAAATTAAGTGTTTCCCAGACACACTAAAAGGACCTCCCTAATTGCTGGTCCCTGAAGGGACAAAAATACAAAAACAACAAAACATTATATTGTATCGGCCGATGGCGAGGGAAAAGATGGAGAGCTGAGAATGGGCTGGTAGCGGAGGACGAGCTGAGGATAGAAAAAGACACAGCATTGCTTGTGTAATTATATGTTTTGACTCGATCGGCTGTGTGTACCGTCTGTCAATCAACATCAGCCAGCCCGGCGGATGGAGCAGATGGCAGAGGAAGGAATTGAGCTGGTCATTGACTTTGTTTCTGCTGAGGGAAGGAAGAGCAAGACAACAGATCCAAAGGACACTGGCGTCACTCCTCCTCCGAATCAACGACTGACTTGTACACAGGACAGCCTAAACTAGGAGAACCTCATTAGATACAGATATGGAGGATGTGAGAAGAAATCAATATGAAGGCCTTCGCTTCTTTTTCCATTTTACGCCTGACACTTTTCACTCCAAGATGTCGTGCCAAGATAATTCACACGTCCTTGTGCTACTTTTGTCATGAGAAAATGGAGGAAAAATGCACAACTGATTAGTTTATCGTATCTCCTCACAGACCATTTCCTGTTTCCACAAGGTCCTCTGTTGTCTTTGAAGCCTGGTGCTGATGAATTTGGTTAGAAGAGAGACTTGGAGCCACAATGACATTTCCTCCACTCTCTGTTCAGGGGGATTGGGAGCTGGAAATTGCACCTCAGTGCTAAATGAAGCCTAAAGCTTTAATTAACGGCAGTGCACAATAGTTGACGGACATCACCCACAGTTCACAGCTCTCGTGTTTCAATCCCTCTCTCAAGGAAGTGTCTGGGAAATTTGGGCAGGTGTCAAGGGAAAACAAAACAACATGCGAGTGGCCCACCATTGTGGTTAAATCACCGGCACAGTCATTGTGGTTTTCAAAGGGCACAGGCTGATCCTCTGCTCCATACCTGACTAACGCCCACCTCTGACAGAGGCTTAAAGGAAAAGTCCACTAAATCCACCTAAGACACTTGAACACTGTTACAAAAGAGCGAGTGATGAAGTGTTATGCATTTCTGGACTCACTGAAATACTAGGTGGTTTTCAGTCTTGTCACTTAAGACTTTTAGTTTTATTTACTCAGATTTAAACACAAAAACAGCAGTTTCTTACACAAAGGCCTGGATTTTCCATTCTATTTACAGCTGGAGGAGAGCTCCGACTAACCTGGACATACTGAGTCCAACCTTTGTATTTATCTGTATTGTAATTTTGCCACATGCATTTTGATGGGTAAATGCCTGGATTTTGTTTCAACAATAATTGTTTCTGCAATGATGCAGGGTTCATGACGAAGCGTCTCAGGTTTGTTACGACGCCGAAATAAGTTTTCAATATTTAGAGAGAGAAAGAGACCACATCTTTCTATAATCTTTACCTAAACAGAACAATGAAAACATGAATCATGTTTCAGTAGCAAAAAGTGGATTTTGTAGGCAAACCAATTCTGACAGTAAATATCTGAATCAACCCCCAACAACAGCGGGAACAGAGCCAACAACAATATAAGGTATGGAAGTTTTACCATGTCAACTTTTAACCAAACTTTTATACTTCTAGCTTTCTTTTAGAGCAAGGGTCTCTAAAAGAAAGGTAGAAGATGGTCTGTTTTGGGTCTAACAGTGTTCCCCAGCAGCACAGGTAGTACAAACTGCAGCATGGATGCAGCCGAGGGGAGGCAGTGCCCTACATAAAATGGTGGCCTAAGAAAGTTGGGGGGTGTAGTGGCCTGTAATTGCTCACTGGGAGGCTACAAGGTTAACATTGGTCTAGACAGAACAAATCAGAGACATACTTTGCTTTGAAAAACACTCAAGGCTGCAAACCCTGCTCCAATGTTCCTGGCAGTGCAGACAATAAGCTGGGCTTTACCTTCGCTATCAGAGCTGAATGAAGCCTGGAAGAGTGGTGTGGTATATACGTCTTTCATGCCACTGATATGAAATGGCCTATGTAAATGACTGACACACTCTAGAGGGCCATCCACACCAAGAACAGTAATTTAAACGATGTGAGTATTCACACTGATGAACAATAACATGTAAAAAGTGGCCCCAACACGCTCATCAGTTTCCCACAACTTTCCCCAATCATAGCAATCCCCCCCCCAAAAAAAATATTTTATTCTAACTTAATTAACTTAATTATTAACTAATAACTATTTTTGCAAATGCGCTTTCTGCCACAATTTCATTGCAAAAATGTCCTGAAAACACTGCAATGTGCATCACAACATTTTTGAAAAGCTGCCGTAACATAAGGCATTCTAGGTTGCAGGAATCCCCAAAAAGCTGGTAACAATCATTTCAGAGAAAAAAAATAACCAGAAGGATCTGGGCTCACAAAGTTTTCAAGACGAGAGGAACAATCACCACTCTGTTATGAGAAGTTGATGTTCTTTTCGAAGACAATTTTCATGTGTAATTAAGTGTTTATTTGTTGTATATTTAGTTTTATTATTAAGTGTTTATTAGGTTTGTAATACCACGAATATCATTAATCAAATCGCTCTGGAAGATATTGGTTGGCCACTGTCGTTGTTTGCTATATGTTGTGGTGTGGGAATGAATATATAATAGATATATTTATAGTTATTGTTCTTATATATTGTTATCTATAAAGCTTGGTGTGGATGGCCCCTGTGGTACATTGGTCCCAACTTTCTATCATTGAAGTAAAGTGGACACCCGACCCCAGATGGGACCCAACTGCTTTAGTGAATGTGCTATGCAACTCTGACTTGATTCACAGCCTGGATGTCTGCTTCTGGTTTTTTCTGTTTCTGATTTTGGAAATCAGCTCAGGACCATTGTGAGGTTATCACTGATTGATCATTATACAGTCATATGGTTATTGTAAATGCATAGTGTAACATACAGTAAAATGTCAGATGACATTATTTTTGGCATAATGTGATCTTCCATTGGTCACATCCCAGTCCCAGGTAGACCTCAGCCTGTGGCAGTCTCACACTGCAGGGGGACAGGACGGGATGGGACCTGCACAACACACTCACTCAAACAATCGCTCACTTTTTACTCACACTGCAGCAAGTCAGAGGGACAATGCTGACATTCTGTCACTGGAGCATAATGAGTGACAGGATGGTGTTACACTATGTTGCTTCAGTAGGTAACCGATTACAAGTAACACAAATGAGTAAAACTAATTTTTTAAGGAATGAGTATTACTCATGTTCTTTTAAACTTTACTTCTACTCTTTTTTTAAGCCATTAATAAATTTTTTACTCTGCTATATTTGCTTCACTATCACTACTAGTCTGCTGTAAAAGCAGGATTAAGGGTAGGAGGGGAGAGCGGGAGGAGCTCCTCTACTACAGCTGCCCTGACCAAGAAGTGATGAAACCCAGAACAAAGGCAGTGTGTAAATTATGAGTAAATTTGTTATTAGTTTTGATGACTGATAAATAACAAATTCTTGCCACTTTTTTCTTTCTTGAACTGAAATGATGGGACTGATCCTGACTGATTTCTTTTTTTAATGAAAAAATACAAAACAATGACCTATATCGGACTTGTTTAATACGATCCAGAAACGGTGCACTGGTCGTCAACATAAAAAACATTAAATGTAAATAAAACATTCAATACACATGCATAAATACATTGAATAATGTAATATTATATGTGCATATATACCAATCACAGGTCAAAATCTTGCTAAATTTGGCTTAATTATAAAAGCCATAAATGGTACTTAACAAAGAGCTGTTCGTGATAGAGCTTTGAGAATTCTGTGCAAGCCCAAACTGCGCCTAAACCACGGAAGCAGTTTTAAAATTGGAATTTTAAAATAAATAAATAACTTAAATAGTTTAGTACAAGCTAAAGTAAACTACTTTTGGCATAATTAAGTATAAATTATTATCAAAACTAATAAATAACAAATTCACTCATTATTTACAGTTACTGTATTCTTAATAAAATATATAAATTTTTTAAATCTAATTCTGTCCAGCCCAACCTATAGCAGTTTTTTTTGGGCCCGAACCCAGCCCGAACCCAGTGGGTCATGTCCGGTCCAGCTGGGATCGACAGAATCAAAGCCCTAGTTTTGAATCCAAAAGAGTCGTCTCTTATTGCTGAGCTGAGTCAAATGATCTGGATCACTGAAAAGAGTGGGAATTCCCATCACTACAGGCACATTGAAGTTAGTGGTGCACACTGTAGGTGAAAATGTAGTTAGCTAGCTAACATTTCCCTGTGTAACATTAATGTTAATGTTAACTTATGCAATTTTAATAGTGTTTATGGACCCCAGTATGCAGAAATATTCAAATACACTAGGCAAAAAATATCACTTTTATAATGCATGCTGTAGAAAATAAGTAAAAATGTTTAATAAAATACTTGAAGTACAAGTTCCTTTACATTTTAATCATTTTTATGATTTTCTACTACTGCAACTATGGAAGTAACTTTAACACCGAAGTTGGCATTACATTAGCTTAAATGCCTTCTAAAGGACACCAATTTAAAGCTGCAGCAGGGGTGTGTCCAGAGGGGATGCCTAAAATGTGATTGGCCACCCCATTATCCTCTTCCAGTCGCACTGTCTTTCAGAGGTTGTAGCGGTGTTTTAAAGCTAAAATGAAGATACTGACCACGCATCCATTGGTTCCCATGTTGGAAAGGGGACTAAATAACGTTCCAAAGTTAGGCTAAATTTTGGCATCGCAAAAAGTCGCATGGTCATTTTCAAAGGGTTTCCTTTTCAACATATCTGAAGGAAAATGTTTTTTATGAGTACCCACAAGTCTCCTCTTTGTAATGCTAATCCCATGCAGTTTTTTGCAGTAATTGTACTTTTACTTAAGAATATTTTTTCAGTAGCCACCACTGTATTAATTAAACAGACATCTCATCAGGATTCATGCATTAGCAACAAAAAAGATTATGTCATGCCTGTCTTTGGAAAGATCTTTATTATATATATTAGTGAGGATTGAAGGAGATAAAACTTACTGTGCTGGGACTCCAGTGCGTCCCGCCGTCTCAGCAGGATCCTCTGCAGCTCCTCATCACGGCTGTTTGATGGAGACTCTGCCTTCGGTTGGGGGGAGGTTCTATTGAAATTCTCCTGCACGGTTTCAACAAAAACACATGCATACATATAGACAGCTGGTTCAGGAACAAGAGAAAAATACAGCTCAAAATAAGTAGTTATTTTTACTGTCTGACTTTAACTGGAGTGAATGCATATTTAGCAGGACAAGAATATGTGCTCATTTAATCTGCTTTTCTTCTAACTAGCATGTAAATTTACTTTAGTGCTTTAAATGTTACAGTAGTACTTTGTCTTCTGTAAAACATATGAAGAACTTGCCAACCTTTGTTGAATTTGATCATATTTTAACATTACATTCTGATGTAAGCACATGCATGTACAGTGGAGACAATAAAGTGTCTCCTCCTGCGTAAACATGCTGAAAGTTCAGCCAGTAAAATATGGCTTGTGAGGACATTTGATTGTTTTAAAGTCCCATTACCATGATTCCTTTAAGTTGCTGATAGGCAGAATTAGAGGGCAGCCTCTCCATCTGCTAAAAGGAAAATAGGAGGAAAAAGATGGGTTTGGTAAATAAACAGCAGTCTGACACATTATACTTATTTTTCCTCATTCAGCACTTAGAGGCTAAACTGCACCTCTTACCACAGAGATGAGACACTGTAGGCAAGCAGGAGGACATATGCTTTCTACAAGAAGCAAATGTGTAAACACAATCATTTTGAGTCACGTCAATTTTCCCATCCTCATTATTTATAATTACCTTGTGGAGCAGGTCTTAATGCTATCTAATTTGGCTGAGTTGTTGTGGTGGAGGAACACACAGACTAAGAGATGTCTTGGCCATATGTCATGTTTTATCAAAACAAGCAGCTCCTAAATAATCCCACACACTGATGGATTTAAGAGCACTGAACAATGCACACTCTACAATGTATTAAAAACTCATTCAGGCCCGAGAACACTGGACGTCTGCAGCCGGTGCTTTAGTTTGGTGATTTCAACAAAGATAACAGCACATTTTCTGTCACAATCAAGGCACAAATCACACACACAAACACACAATTCCTTTGATGACTTTTTTATGTCTACAGTGTTTAGTATTCGGCGTGAGACATCTCTGCAGTTTCTACGGGACTTTTCTACCAACGTGGCGCTGTTTTCTTTGTCTTTTTGACGAACCGATTCTTCTGTTTAGTCTAAACAAACAGTGAATGTAATACACATCACTTCCTGTGTTCCTGCAGAAAGTGCAGACAGTGGGTACACCTGGAGTTTCACAGTGGTGTGTGTGTGGGCTGGCGGAAAAACCAGTAGCAGCATATTTATCTCTCAAGTTTCAGTTCACCACTAAGATCCATCAACCTTACAGGCTAATATTTTAATAACTCATTCCATTACTCACTATGTTTACATGCAATCTCATTTTCCATCCTTCCCAATATGACAATATTCCACATATGATAATGGTCATGTACTGTTTCTTTTGTCTTTCTCTTTGGATATTCCTAATTCAGTGGGATATGCTAATATTATACAGTATACAGTGCATTCAGAATATGCGTCTCATTTGGGTGTTTTACTGCGGTTTGTCTGTTTATGGTCAGCTCTGTGTTGTAAACAAACTAACTAGACAACAGGCTTGAGTAGAGACAAACGCACAGAAGAAAAGCTCACATTTCTGGTCGGAGAGAGAGACACACCTACTATCAAACAATTAGAAATACTGGGATATTAACAGGTTTTTAAATATGCGCAAATATCACAAAAAAGGGGCAAAAACCGGAATATTTTGTGCATGTAAACACTCACTGTCTTATCAGCTCAATTCACTGAGTTCATTGATTCAAGAAAAAGTGTTAGTAATTAAAGCTTTATTTATATAGCACCTTTTTGTCACAGAGATCCAAAGTGCTTTACAAACAACAAATATATATATGGGTATAACCATATAACATAAAAAAGGCTTGCATGAAGGTTGGTTTTGGGCAGCCGCATTAAAACAAGTCCACAGTTTGTGGAATCTGAGTGAATGGGGAAGCTATTCCACAATGTTGGGCTAAAACAGCAAAGCACAGGCACCTTTAGTTTTAGCGTGAGTGGAAGGAATGATAAAAAGGCCGTTAGATGTTGAGAGGCGAACGTGGCCGAGAAGTGGAATAAGGGACAAGGGAGATCTGAAGATGGTAACTGGGGGCAAGGTCATGAAGTGCCTCTTATATGTAACTCAGTTAAGATCTCTATAATTGATTCTGGAATTTTACCGGAAGCCAGGTGAACGGATGCGGAGAACAGGAGTAATGTGGGATGGCGGCTTGGCTGTTCTGGGTTAAAAGTTTTGGTGGGGCTCATTTTGTACTAACTGTAATCGGTTTAACGAAGCCTGACTGAGGCATGTGTAGAGGGAGTTACAGTAATCTAGACGGGAGAAAATGAAGCTGTGAATTAATTGTTCAAGATCACTGGAGGACAGGTGATGCTCCTATAGGGGCTACATAAACAAACAAAACCATCAGAAAGAAGATTGGATATCTCTATTTAGTTATTCTTAATGACTGCCACAGGATGGATTCCATTGAATTCCTCTTGAAATCAATTAAACAGTGCTATAGAAACACTACCACTTTTGTCCACAGGGGCCGCAAGAATAACTTAAATAAAAGTTCCTTGTAGGGGGCTTTAAGCAATTCAGAATCAGGTTAATTTCCAAGTAGATTGTCACATAAAAAGGAATTTACCTTGGTATACTGATGCATAACAATAAACATAGTATAAGAAAAATATGCATAAAAATAAAAGCAAGTACTTCAAGTCAAAAGGCACGAGTCTATGTGCATGAATAAAAATGATAATAAAAAGCCAAAATCTGGTAGCAGGAGATGTTAATGTTATATTATTTAGCATAACTGCATGAAAAGTTAAAGCAGGAGGAAAACCATTATTATAATCATATTACAATACTTATAAGCAATATTAAATGAGTGGGGTTGTCCTTGCTAGTGAAATTAACAAATTAATTTTGAAGTGTAGAACTATGCTATGCGGGTTGCAAATTACATATTAGTTGATTTTTTGAAAATGTGACAACCGTAGTGGAGATAAAATTCATAACACACCCATATCAAGGTGACAAAACATGCCAGCGCAAACTGGAGTCCGCCATGTTGAACCTCCATGCTTCTACAGTAGCCCAGAATGGACACTGTCTATAGATATGGCCTTTCACGTTTTTCAAGAGTTTCGCAGCCACCGTAGTTTCTCCTAAACACTTGCAAGGCTAGATGCCACAAAATCCTACACACTGGACCTAAAAGTCAAAAACACAGCAGGTGGCAGATATTGTCAGGATAATACACCATTTAAGTTACCTGTCTCCTGGTCCTATTAGGTGACTGGCTGACGGGCCGTAGTTGAATGCCTTTCTTGATCCTTTGCATCATTTCCTCCACTGCCTGCTGCTTGATGTCCACATCTGGGAGTAATACACACAACAAGCGACAGGGACAAAGATTTTATCACCAAGCTTCGAGCTCCCTTTTCAACACAGTATTTAGCAGCTTTGCTGATACCAAATTGGAGTGTGGCTGGGAAATAGTGCCAAGAACCAAAGTGAGTTTAAATGATTTTGAGAGGTATGAGGCACTGTAATTTACAGCCATCATTAGCCCTGCACTTGAAATATAGCTCATTTGGATGTAAATGCTTAAAAATGACACGAGCCCCCAGGACCAATCAATAAAGTTTTTGTTGGAGAAATTCCAGGTTTTTACTCTTAATTATACCACAGATATCGACTGAACTGTACCAGGGTGAATCCTGTTTTAGGGTGGATTTAGCTACAGTTAATAATCATTGCTGTGGCCACTTTTTTTGTAGTATTCAAAGTACACCTGTAGAGTTCAAAGCCTTTGTAGTGTGTGAGGTTACCAAAATTATTCTGGAATGAATTTGGACTCTCTGTGTAAAAACACAAACACTATTCAGCAATTTTTCATCCAAAAGTTCTGCGAGGATAAGAGAGTTTCTCAAGTTCACAAAAGATGGGAACAAAAATTTTAATGCTGTAATAATGCAGCCCATTGGCAAAGAAATGTGAATATTTAATTTTCTAACATAAAACATTCAATGGCATACACAATGAAACTATTGTCAGTAAAATGTCTTTAAAATGTCACACAAAAACTATTTTGTGTTAAAGTGATAGTAAAATATTTTCCTCCAGTGCTCAGAAAGAGACTATTATTCAGGTGTCAGAGTCGAAGATCCTTGGGTGCCACCTATTCAGCCCTGTATGTAATTCCAACAAATACCCTGTGCGTAGAGCCCAATTCAGGCCTCATATATTCAAAAACTATTTAACAAAATAAAGACACAGTATAGCCTGTTCAGTGAACCAACGAGTCAAGGCTTGCCTTTTTGTTTGCGCAAATTGAAGAATTTAACATGTTGACCTAATAGGCCAATGATGGAGATTTGAGTTTAAATTTCTTATGAACCACTTGCTACAACATTTGTCCTTCTACACAAAAGTGGCTTAGATTTGCGAGAGGCAAAAAGGATAAAGTCAGAAAGGCAAAAATAGGATGAAGAAGACCAGTTCTTCTTCGCTGACATACATGAGAAATAGCAGCCCTGAAGAGAATAAAATACAAAATGAACATACGTCGCACAGAGGCAGAAAGGATATGCTGAATGTCTGGATTTTGAGAGAGTATGAGTTCCAGAATATGGACATTCAGGCAACATTTCTTCCACGGTGTCACTTGGAATACAACAGATCATACTTACATGAAATGTAATATTTGCAGAGTTATCCTCCTTTTTTTAAGAAGATAAGAATAACTCCTCCGTCCCTAACTCTCTTTTTATACTGTTTAATCATCATTACATCCATCTATACGTTGGTGGAATACTTAAAACTGCACATTTATCATATTTTGAAAAAAATCTAATCATTTTTATAAAGCTGTGCCTGTCCAGTTGATGTCATCCATCGCTTTATGGAATCCCATTTTGAAGTGTCCAGTTTGGCTTTATAGTCTTCACCATGGTGTTTTTTAGAGCCAGTGGTGGAGACGTACTGGGAGTATGTGATCAGCACTGCCTAGTTAGTTCCATATATGATTCGAGCGTTTTA